TATATATTTTTTATTTAATTATAATTTTAAAAAATTAATTTCAAAATAATATACTCATAATATTTACAAGACCAAAATGCTAATATATGTTCAAGGAGCCACTTGACTTCTTGATGTTTCTTAATCTTTGTGTTGTGATGTTATCAAAATAAATGTACTGTACACATTCATACACAGAATGGTTTATTTATAATGTTATCTGGAAATATCCTGAAAAATATGCTACAAAAAATGTTTCAGATCAAATTTGTTTGGTATTAAGGTGGATGCAAGATGGCACTACTGTTAGTGAAAATGAGGTCAACTTCATTTTCTTAAATGGGAACTCTAATTTTTATTGCATATTCTAATTCTTCATAAAAAAACTAATAAACTCTTTATCTAAAACGTTTTTTTTCAAGAAATGTAATTGTCACAAATCATAAGCATTTGAAGATAAGAGTTTGGTTTCTAGGTACAGTTTGTAAATATTGTTTTGATAGTATTGAATTAATTGAAAACTGAAAACAGTAGTCTATGTTTTACAGTTGTAGGAAAAAGTTGAAACTGCACATATTTCATCCTTACCGTGCTTTATTGCATCAAGAACTCCACAGCAAAAGTTCAAACAATTTCAAAATTGTTTGAACTTTTGTCATTGGGCAGAACAATAAATACAAAAGAATGACAAGTATTTTTACAAGTATTGTTTTTTTGATAAAGCATTATTTACAAATCACAGTCAATTAAATTGATATAAAACATTTTCCTAAGGTAAAAACTGTAAACATAGACTACTGTTTTATAATGTTACTTTTTTAAATAAAAATCTCACAATCCATTGCAGGATTTTTTTATTCAAAATATTATGAATTTTTAGTTAAGTAGAATGTTGATGAATTATAGTATATTAAACTAATTGGCAAGCGCCAAATCCGACAGAGGGCGCTGTTTTTGAGCCAAGATGGCTGCCGAAACAGGTAAGGAGCCGACCATGTGTTTGTTCAGTGCCTGAGCCGATTCAGTTTCTATCGGTGGCGACTACTGCGAGGACCAAATGAAGAACAAATCATTGAATTTATGTCAAATTCTAGACTATATCGTCGACAGGAAACGTCTCGTAGAATGTGAAGCCGTTTTGGATATATGTGACGTACACACACACACACATTATGTTGTGTGTGTGCTACACAACCAAACTTGACTGGCCTATGTTGTATAAGTGCTGAATGACTCAGCAGGGCAGCCTTAAGATTGGCACTGATTTTAACTATTATGATAAATAAAACTTTGTTTTTATATTGGAACATGATGTATACTGCTTAAAATATTTAAATACTTCTCACCTGTTAACGTGTAATAAACATGCTATCACACGTTTACAAAAACCAGACAGCTCCGCTTTGCACGTGCATTCTCCCTGTAATTGAGATGTATTAAAATGCTAATATCTGAGATTGCAACACTAAAGCAACAACATGAACTTCTGTGTTGTTAGAGTTTAATCCACAAAATACGATGTGTCCGCATCCAAAAACGGCTTCACCTTCTACAAGACAACGTTTCCTGTCGCCGATATAGTCTAGAATTTGACATAAATTCAATGATTCGTTCTTCATTTGGTCCTCGCAGTAGTCGTCACTGATAGAAACTAATCGTCTCAAACACTTAACAAACACGTGGTCGGCTCCTTACCTGTTTTGGCAGCCATCTTGGCTCAAAAACAGCACCCTCTGTCGGATTTGGCGCTTGCCAATAAATTTATGGTTAAAGTATACCTAGGTAACCCCAATGGTGGTGCTTCGGTTAGTTTAGATTAACTATATTTTTAGTAGACGCTTCCTTTTTTTTTTATTTATTTTGTTCAAGAACTACCGTGAATCAATAACTAATGATGTTAGGCATCGATGGCCTGCCGGCAGCTTTCCTCCGGGAGGAGTTTGCTGGGAGCACGAACAGTCAGAAGCACTGCCATTGGGGTTACCTAGATATACTTTGACCAAATTTATAGTAGCATATTTCATGTGTCTGTGATTTATATAAATAAACTAATGAAATTGCATTTTTAATTATAAAATTAGAAAACTGTTTTAATTTTAATAATTCTCATAAGTAAAGAAATTTGTGAATTACTGTAAAAATATAAATAATTACATGTTTATAATTTAAAATAATATAACTTACTAATTATTTATTTATAATAATAATTAAATTACTTTTGATATGTTTATATATGTTTTCTACATTTATTTTAAGTAGAATCCTCAGCTGACAGTAACCTTAGAAGCAACACAAAATATTGTGAATCATTCCACTACTGGTTTAGTTGTTTGGGAGGTAAATATATAATATTTTTCTTAATATTCAAATGCAAATGTTATAAATTTGAATTATGGATAAATTTTTCAAATACCAAAGTTTCACACAGAACAGAACTTATTCTTATACTTTTGTGTGTTTTATTATAAAATGCATCTTGAGTATATGAAAATATACTCCTTTTCAGTCTATAATCCACAAAAAGTACATAAAAGTGTAGAATAAACTCTGACCTTATTCTTGCAAATCTTGAGAACTATCTTGATTGAAAGCTAGACCAAGATTAAACTCTGTTCTCTAGGAAACTTTGAGATCCGTAATTTAAATTTAATCAAATTGTTTCCACAAATAATTTTATTTATTGAGCAAATATTTTAGTCTCATTATTATAACCAATAATTTATTATAACAGGCTTCAAAGTTTTTAGTAGATTGGGGAATTGAAAATGCTTCATTTTTAAAGGCAAAGTAAGTGAATATAAATTATTTTCTGTTCTGAAACCGTGCCCTTCTTTAAATTATATTTTGAGACACCAGTTTTGATACTAGACACTGGACTTTTTCACATCCACTTTAATTTCTGATATACTTTACAGTGTATAAAACAATTTTTTCAAATGCCAATATGCATATCATGAAGTGTCTAGTATCAACACTTCATGGTGTCTCAAAATATAATATAAATTATATTGAAAGATGTGATTTCAATTCTATTTAATTTTGAAAATATTTTAATTTTAAAATGATGAATTCAAACATATAAATTTTTAAAAACAAAATTTAATAAAATGTTGTCATTTTTAAAAATTAAACAAAAACATTCTTTAAGTAAAATAATGAATATTAGAATCTTTATATAATGAATTAAATTAAATTAATAATTAAAATTGAAATATGTTTGAATTAGAGAATACAATCTTTAAAACACTGGATAGATATTTAAAGATAATGCTCACCAATACCAAAATCCAGCAAAATAAGCACCTGAAGATGTAACAGACATCTTCAGATTTAATGGAAATGTTTGGCCTTCCTGGTTTCATTTGAGAGTACCCACTTGTCGTACATATTGTGCATCATCTATTTTGCCCCCCCTTTAGACTTTCTTTATATCACCATTCTTATTTTTATTGTATACTAAATAATGTATACAGTGTTGAATACTTTTTATACCAAGATTTTATGTGTTTTAAATGTCAATGTAAATGTGTTTTGTATTGAAATTATTACAAAAGTTTGCTTCTAGCCCTTGGTATAATTATATTAATTAAATTATCAACAACCATGAGGCAGATAATACTGAGGTCTTATCAGACCAACAATGGGCACAAATGCTCAGGAATCAAAGTGAAAATGTTTAAACACAAAAATGACTACATAAGTATGGAAACGAAAAAACCCAAAATGCATTTCAGACTATTTTCTGATAGAAAATAGTCACTCATCAGTTGGTATTAACTAAAGATAATAGTATATTTAAAATTATACAAGGTAAAGGTAAACTTAAAACTATGCCTAAAGCTGTACAATATAAAGATGAAAACACTATTATAACTGTATGAGCAGTAAGCATTATCAGTGTAGACAGGTGTAATAAATCTTCATAACGTTGCAGGGAGGTGTGATGTACAGGGTGATGAACAAAACAGTTATAAGTTAGCCAATTATTGGTTTACAGTTAGGAACTAAAGTTGAGAATGCGTTTCGGACTATTTTCTGATAGAAAATAGTCCGAAACACATTTTGGGCTTTTTTGTTTCCATACTTATGTATTCATTTTTGTGTTTATTAAATGTTTTCACTTTGATTCCTGAGCATTTGTGCCCATTATTGGTCTGTTAAGCCCTCATTATTAGCTGCCTCACAGTTGTTGATAATTTAATTAATATAGTGTTTTGTATTATTCTTAAATTCTTATGTTTTGGGTTTTTTTATTGTTATTGGGGGAGGAAATCATTTCCTAATGTATATTAAAATAAATAAATTTAAATTATATTCAGAATTAAATTAAACATTTAGCTCATTTTGAAACATTCTGATAATTTTAAATGCTTAATTTAACTGTACTGTTGTATTCTGTGGGATTAAACCTGTAAAATTTTTCTATTTTCTGAATTTTGGTGTTGGTGAGTGTTTGAATTAGAAAATTACACCTGTAAATTAAAAGATATTTCATATATTTTAGTATTTTAATTAAAGTTTAAACAATTTATATTCTAATGGTGGAATTTGTAATATATGTAACTATAAAAACCTTTAATTAAAGATTTTTAATTTTTTAAACCATATTTATTTTTAAATTTGTTGTAATTTAAAGCTTTGAAGAATTAATTATAATTGAGGAGCCCTGTGGAAAAAGGCACCCAAGTACACTTAGATCTCTTTTTTAGTTAATTATTTTGTGAAATCTGCAAATTTAACACAGTTGTTGGAAATTTAGTTGTAAACAGATCCAATAGGAAAAATGCTCCTTGTGAGATTCAGATTGGCGGTCACAGTTTGCAATAACAATTATATGGGAAAGTTAACACATAGTTATCAGAAAATGCACTGTCATTGTCAACATGGACGATCATGTGACCCCCTTTTCCATGACAATGATATAAAACCAAGAGCTACCAGAAGCTCGAGGCAATTGAACTGGAAGTTATATTTGGTAACTGTGCCCATTCTGTCTCCCAGACCTCCATACAACGGACTTGATCCAACAAAAGGAGAAGACACTGGTTGGAAGACACTCAATGGTTGCGACACTTCATATAGAACTGTTATCACCGCATATAGCTCTCCTCCATCATTAGAGGTAATTATTAGGGGAATTTCTCTCTGGAAAATAGGCCTAGCTGATAGATTAGTCCTTTGTAAAATACTAGACTGGGTAATCACATCCTAACTGCATTTAGCCATATAACCTGTATATTCCTTTAACTTTGTGTAGCCTCATGTATGTTATAGTTAGTCAAATAATAAACCTTATTTTGTTATATGTTAAACCTGTCTCCTGTCTATTTGGCCAATGAACACCTATCGACTTACGCACTCCCCACTCGATATTTGCCCTCCTAGCCATCCAACGACACAGAGGTCGGATTTCAACAACCCATGCAGTGTAAGTGGTCATTAGGAATTGACCCAGTGGACCCCTGCTTATCTCACAATTTTGTTATGCATGTTGAATAGGGTTTTATAGACATTTTATAGACATGGATATTCCCATTACTGTAATAAGCACTTTACTCTAGCATATTCACCATTTATACTTTACACATTTAATAAAAAGCATCATGCAAAAAGCACAGCTTTTTTGAGAATTCCTGAAAATATCAAACTTTTACTTAGATATCTTTTTCCATAAAATTCCTCAGTTAATGAAAAAATTTTTAAGTGAAGTTGTTTTTAAATGAGAATGTTAACTCTTATTAAAAGTGTTGAAAATTGAACTTAATCAGTTATTTATCTACATGACAAATATTATTTAACTTTTAATTCAGTAAAATATTTTATTTCTGTGATTAATTTTTTTATTTTTTTTAAATAATAATTATAATGTTTTATTTACAGTATTTATATTAATATTATTTCAGAACAATTCTAGAATTGGGTTCTGGTCTAGGATTATTAGGCATTGCACTTTGTCAGTTAGTTAAATTTTCAAAATACATCTTTAGTGATAACAGTCAAGATGTTTTAAGAATATTAAAAAAGAATATTGACTTAAACTTTTATCATCCCGATTATAATAAATTGAACATCATCCAAAAACAGAAAGAGAATTTTAATAATTTTGCAAATTTTGACGATGGCAATGATGTAAACAAGCCAGAAGTTAGTGATATAACTGTACTGCCAATGGAATGGAAAAGTGCTACTTGTGGGGAGATTAATAAATATAACCCAGATATTATACTTGGATCAGGTAAGAAAAATAAGTTTGATTATTTTATTGCATTCTGTTAAAATAGATGAGTAATATATTAAAATTTCAAATTAATGGCTATTTTAAAAAAATATATCAAGTTATTTTTCAGTAAAATTTAACAAATTTTACTGAATTTAGAATTTAACAAATTAAAAAGCAAATTTAACAAAATTGCTTTTAGATAAATTATAAAGATATATATTTTATTAATAACATTTATAAGAAGCTCTTATATCTATCAAAACATCAAGAAAAGAAAACTAGTAATACTTAAAATAATGAAATTTTATATTTTCCAATGAATGAATAACCATTAATTTAAATCAAAAGAAGTTATCATATAAGGAAAAAATATATTTTTAGATAGAAGAAGTATTGTTTAAAAAACACATTAAAAGTTAAGAATTTACTACTCAATATTATAAGTTATATCAAAAATGAAATTTGGTTGATAGATGCATGGATATTGACTACACATTGATATTTTGTATTTTATATTTTCAACCTTTATGCTTAACAAATATCCATTTTAAAAATTTAATTCCAGTTCCTAGAATGTACTTATACATTATTAAATATGTCCCTGATAAATTAGATGTAATACAGGGAGGGTGCAAAAGTAGGTGTGGAAAAAAAAACATACAGGAAGATAAAACATTTTTATGTATAAATTAAATCACAAATAAGGAATATGAACTAATAAAAGATAATGAAAATAATAATAATGAACACCAAACATTTTTATTTCTCAGATTTCCAACTGTATACCTACTTTTGCACCTCCCTGTATGTTGTACCATTAATTACAGCAGATTGCTTTGCATTGTTTACATCACTTTGTATCATATTAAGACATATATGTATAGTTATATGAGTGTTAAAGTCGATTTTTTTTATATAAAAGTATTGAAATTTTCATTAAAATACTAAAAATCTACTGTGTGTCAACATTAAAACACTTTTTGTTAACTCAAGCACTTTCGACATTTTTATCAATGTCATTTTCAGGTAAAGAACAATTCAATTTTAAAAAAAGGAACATTACATATTTAAAATGGAAAACATATTTTGGAATACAACCTTAAATAAACTTAAACTAACATAAGTATAATAATAACATGTGCATAGAGACAAATTAGTATGGAAAAATAATAATAATAAAAAAATTTCCTTTATTCTATGGTAAACTGAGTAAAGCAAGGAAATTTTCATACTTTTTATTTAAAAATTCAGTATAACAATTCTGTCATGTTTATGACTTCTGTCTTTAATCTCACCCATTAAATGGTTTTCTGTCTTTGAGTATTATTCTCAACTTGCTTTATTCTATTTATCAATGCATAATTTTCATTTTATGGCAACTTCTTTCTGTCAAGCTCTATGTCTCTCTTTCATAAACTAATACATGAAGAATGCAATCATGATATTTTTTTCTCTTTAAACTTATTGGATTGTTATTTTTGATGATGTTTCTTATTTTTCCAAATGCAATCCAGCAAAGTTGAATTCTTTTTTTGTTTTTTCTGTGTCTTTTTTCTGATTATCTTGTATTTATTTTAGGCAGATAGTAGGTTATATATGTAATGAATTAACTAATTTTATTTCATGATTATCTCTTTTCACTGATCTTATAAATATATAGTGTGTGTATTTGTTATTTTTGTTTCTTCCATATTTATCTTTAGCTGTCATAAGAGTATTTTCAGTTTATTTATATTCTCTATTCTACAGTCTTGTACAAATATAAATGCTTCTATTATAGATTTTGTTTTATAAGATAAACAAAAAGAATATAAAGTTATAGCCTCTTGTATTTAAACATATTATGAATTCATATATACTTATAAAGGAAGCTTTAATTTAAGTCTACAGGATGTCTGAAAAGTTACTGTATTTTAATAAAAGTGCAGTTTTACAAACAACATTGCATTTTCTCCTACAGCAAATGCTGGAAATGTCCCCAGAAGCCCTAAAATCCAGGGATGAGATCCAGAAATCTAGCAGGTCAGATTCCACGGGAGGTTATAAAATCAGCAAAGAAGTCTTCCAAAAACTGTAAGATTTCTGTTCTGGTCCATCTTGAGCAAGTAGTAGTACCATCTACCACAAAGTGAAATGTGGGACATACAACTTACAGGTCTCATATACAATGCTGTACAGTACATATAACTTTAACAATTGTACTACAGCACCTAATGTTTATTAAACTGTTATTACAAATGATTTCAATTTATTTTTATAGGCCATCTTCAGGCTTGGAACTAAAATATAATTGTTATAAAAATAGAACATTTGAATTTTTGAATTTTACATTTAAATTTAATATTTTAAAATACAATCCTTGATACTTGGAAACTCTAAATATACCTACAGATTCGAACATCATATCCGCTAATACAAACATGAATATTAAACGTTTATTAATTCAAATCAGACTTAACAAATACTCTTTATTTGTCAATAACACTTATATAGATTTTACTAAAGAATACTGTTATTGGTGTAAATCTAGGGACTTTTCATTATTCCATCTGTTTAAGGACTGTGCTGCATTAGGAAAACATCATAAAAAATATCAAATCATTGAAATAATTCATATGAACCAAAACTATAGAACTAGGCTAGGTAACCTAGCAATAAACAATATGTATAAAATCAATAACTTTTTTATTCAAATCACTAATGAGCTAAAATGCTATTGAATTAATTGAAAATTACTGTTAATTAAATACCTTATTAATTAAATTTCCTATGTAAATGTATTATGTAAGCATAATATGTAGAGATAAAAATTTATTTATATGTTCATGTATATTGTCAGAAAATTGTATAATTTTATTGTTGTATTTATAGAATTGTTTAACAGAATAATATATAAATTCTATATATAAACTTAAAGATAATTATAATAATAACCCACTGTAACAAGGTTCTCCTTACTACAAATAAAGATTGATTGATGATATTTTAAAATACAGAATTGAAGGTGAATGAAGTAAATAAATAAATAATGGACAAGATATAAAATTTGACAAAAATAAAAATTATAAATAAAATAAATAAAAATAAAAAGAATAAAGTTGATTGCAGAGGAATATATAGTCAAAGGTTTTTATTCCCAATTTCTTTTCAATGATGTAGTTCCAGACTGAAGATAAAGCTTTTGCATCCCTGGCATTCAGGCAATGATTTTTTGCATTTGATTTTGCTTCTATATTTTTCTATTTTTTCCATGTTCATAGCAGGAGTTGGAGAGAGTATTGTTTTAACAATGTTTGATTTGTTCTAAGTCACATTTGAACCTTCTATCTACAACATTACAGCTAGAACTGTATTATGGTGGCTTTTTTTCGACATTGTATTGATAATTGTGTTCTTTGAGATGCACTTGTTAATATCATTATAAATTTCTTACTGCACGGTAACTTTTCAGACATCCTGTACAAGTATATTCTTAAGTATTTCTGTAAGTGTTTCTGTATTTCCTATACTGTCTCAGATTATTAATCTTTTTGCTAGCTGTGTAAGGAATAAATTTTAAAAGTTTTGTTGGAATTTTAACAATTACTTGTTACAAAAATAATTGTTTTCCTGAGAAAATCTAAACATCTGAATTTTTTAAAAATTGTTAAAATTTCAATGCAATATAAAATTTTTAATGAAAATCAGTATACAAGAATGATGCCGAATATTTCAATATTCAAAGTCTAAATCAAATTATTTTTAACCTTAAAAAATATATATTTAATTCCAGATATAACATACGATCCTGATATATTTGATGATTTGATTCATGTATTATCTATATTTTTAAAATACTCAAAAAATAGAAAAGCATATTTATCTATGACTGAAAGAAATAAAACAACTTTAACATTATTTCTACATAAAATAAGTAAGTACAATTTCTCTGTTATGTATGGAAATTTTTTTAATGTTTTCTTTGAACACATTTCAGATTTCATTTTAGAAAAAATTAAAAATTGATCTTTTAATTAATTAAGGATAAATTAATTTATATCAAAATATACTATTATTCATTTAGTTATTAATGTATTGTTCTCTAATTTTGTTAATTTATTTTTATTTCAGAAGAAGCAGGTCTTTATTATATTAAAGAAGCAAATCCAAGGAGACAACATTTTGTATATACTGAGGAAGCTCCTATTCATGTTTATAAAATATATTGTTAATTAGTAAAAATTGTTCTCTAATATAAAAATTTCTTATATTTTTAGATATTATTTTGTATTATTTATTATTAAATGTAATTATGTTTATATTTATTATAAATAATAATTAATTTTGTATATACATTGTTATTATTACAATTGATATGAATGAAAATTATTTATAAGATATTTTGAATTTTGGAAAAATATTATACACTGATGATAAAAATATTTTAAAAATTTATAATTATATTAAATTGTAATCAAATGAAATAAATAAATAAATATTGATTTAATTAAATTTTATTTTTAAAGTGAAAAAAATAAATTTTGATTTTAATTCAATTAATTTATTTTAATTAATTGTATTAAAAAAAATGAAAACACATTTTAAAAAAGTGCATCTGCAGATCAAAATAATTAAAAATAGATTAAAATTTGATCAGCTTATTGATTAACATTGAAAAATAAAAAATTAAATTGATATTAAATTTCAAGGGTGTACTTGAAAAATTTATGAAGCACAGCTGCCATTGGGTAATATAATGGTTTAATGAGTGGTAAAATAACACTTATACATTCTTGGTATAGGAAATGAAATTGATTAATATGTCAAATTATGTTATTTATTCTAAAAATATCATTGAAAATAGATCAAGTGAAAAAAAAATAACAGTAAGATTTTTCAACGGAAGAAATTAAATTATACTTAACTCCAGAAATAAAACAAAAATTAAAAATAGATAAAAAATTTTCTTCTAAAATTTTATAATTAATTTACATATCACATATTTTATTAAATTTAATTTAATTTAACAATTAGAGATTTTTCTATTATTAAGTATTTAGCTATTTATATTTAATTAGAGCTAATGGGTTTGAATGCTTTGGCAAAATTGTATTCATTTAAAATGTTAAATAATTTTGTACATTTTTCTAAATTTTTAATGAATCCTCCAATATTCATTTAAAACAAGAAATACAAAATCTTAACTATATTTATATTCAATCATAATTACTAAAAAAATACAAATAAATTTTTGTAATTATTAGTTTTTATTTTATTATACTTTAAACCATGTAAAGATGATCCATATACATCAATACACATTACCTTTTGAAGGAATATATGAATATTTTAATTCATAATTCCACTTTATTATGAATTTATTGAAATAAAATTTATCAAATAATAACTTAAATGATGGCATTCTTTTCCTTGGTTGAAGTGGAAATAATTATTTGAATAAACTGTTTTAGTAGTGTCTATATTTAAATTAGTTTTAAAAATTTGTCTACAGTTGTTAACTTTAATGATGGTCTGTAATTTCCTCGAAAAGAAATTTAAAAAAATTGTTAATAATGCAAAAATACTTGTCACTATTGAATTTAACATGATAAATTCTGTATAAAGGTGTTTATTTTTAATATTATATAATTTATGAACTAAATTAACAAAAGTTTAATTGTTGATAGACTATCCCAATATGATGATTCTGCTTAATGAATAGCATCCATTGATATGTAATAAGTCTAAAAATTAATTTCTTAAATACCTGTAATTATTTATATTGGAATTTGTTAAGAATTTTTGCATCCTCCAATATAATATTTCAATGATCATCCACCTACTTTTTGACAGTAAAGTAATTTAAACAATAATTTAGTATGTTATATAACTTATTTTTTTCATAATATGTTAATTTGAAAGCACAGGTTTTTCTGAATCTCGCTATGTGTAAGTAGATTGCGTATCATGGCTATTACAAAAACATTTTGATTTAAAATAGACCAAGTAATTAATAAATAAAGGTTTTCTTTATTAAGTTTTGACCACAATGTTACATTAAGAAGAAAAAGAATATTGTATCTCCAACAAAAAATTACCCTATATCTTATATAACAGAATAGATTCTGACTTAATAGCAAGTAAAAAGAAGTGTTATCAAATAATTATTTTAATATTTAAAATAAATTTTTAAAATAGTTTAAGTAAATTTAATTAATATATAAAAACCAAAGATTCAAAGTATTAATTTCATGCAATATAAGAATTTTATGTCTTGCAAAAAAATGTACAATTAGTAATGGTTATATGATTATAAATGAATTATCATTATCTTATATCAAAATATCATGAAATGTGTTAGATATAGAATTTTCATTTACTTATAGATACAAATTTGAATAGGACAATTTGGACAATATCCTGATTTGGAATAAACTTAATACAATTTCTTATTTTAATTATATTTTGGCTTGACTGAAATATAAAAAACACTGGCAACTTTGTTACTCCAATTTCTCAGCACTATTAATGATTTTTATTCCAATAAATTAATCCTCCTCAATCTATTTAATATTTGATACATACTGAGAAATGTTAGAACTCAATTGGTTATACAAAATACTAAAAGAAGTTAATATTGTAAATGAGGGATAGTCGAGAAAATTTTTTTGAAACGAATACGTTTTTTTTCTTCCGTAAACTAAAAACTTGTAAGAAGAGAAATTACGTAACTCGGAAAATTTTTCAGACTGATTCCCTTCCTTTATATCTACCGAACCCACGGTCCGATTTTCCTGAAAATTTCTAAAATTATTTTCCCCTAATACACAAACCTCCCTGCAAAATTTCTGAGATTTTCGACAAAAGGCACAGGAGTTATCAAGCTTCAAAGTGGGTAAAAAAAAATCGTCCCTCGCACACTAACATCCATATATTTTTTTGCTCCAACTCCCACATTTTTTGCATTTTTGCACATTTAAAAACCCCAAATTTGTTTTTAATTTCTAAACGTTTCAAGATCCCGTGATTCCAAAAATATAAATTCTTGGAAGGGATCATTTTTTTCTTTTTTTTTTGACCGATCGCCGTACCTTCCTATAAATAACAGCCGGAAGAGTAAAATTTATATTTGGGGAAGATATTCGATAGGAAATTAAAAAGAATTGTATTTCCGACTGGTGAAATTTGCGAATTGCTATTGGTCTTTTGATAAACTTCGTAGTCGTTGTGAATAATAGACTAGTTTTCTGACATAACATAGCCTAATTGTTAAGTTTGATTGCAGTTTAATAGACGACAATTTCCTTATTAAAAAGCATAATTTGATTGAAATGGTGGTCGTTTCTATTCAAATAAATATCATTTATTGAATTAAATAAAAAACAATTAAGTGAATAAGAAATTATTCGTTTCCATTTAAAGAAGAAATTGCAGTTCTTGATAAATTACTGACGTATTCACATTTATAATAATAATAAGTGGCCGTCCATTACGTGGGAAGAGGGGTTCACAAAAAGTTTGGACCCTTGCCTTAAAGTTTCTAAGCCATTTCTTTAATTCTGGGGTCCTCGAACTAATGTACTGTACTGTACATGAAATTAAAGGGGTTTGTCGACGGTACAATAGGGAAGGATGTGTTAAAAGTTTCTCCAAAACTACCCGCAACTAATAACCGATTAAAAAATCGAATGCATTTTTCTATATTAATTTTCTTCATTTTCCAATATAGCCCAAAAAGAAATTTTAATTAATAAAATAATTTTTATTTAGATGCTAAAATAATAATAATACATAAATAACTATAATTAACTCTTAAGTTTATAAGGAATGTTTGTGTATAGTCTATACAGTTAAAAATCTATATCAAATTAATACAAAAATTAATAATATAGATATTCTATTCTATAATAAAACAGTTTATTTAATACTTTGAACTGAGCGATTATGAAAATGATTTATTAAAATTTCATTGCAACAAATCGTAGAATTGCCAAACTTAACAGTAAATTATGCAAGACATTTTTCTCAAAAATTTCAGCGAAATCAATATAAAATATTTTAAACTACTATAAAACAGTGAATCATTTTCTTTTAATAAAATAATTTTTTTATTAACGTGTTAAACAGCTCGGAAAAAATATACCATTTAAATTAATTATATAAAACCTGTGTTCAGGAAATTTACTGTAAAAAATTCGAGTTAACAAAAAAGAATTATTTATAGTTATATTTAAAGCAATTTTATAAAATAAATAGAAATTTTATTTATTGAAAGAGGGGCAATTGCCGGTTGTTAAATGAAAGCGGTAGACATTTTGAAAGTAATTTCTTTAGTAAAAGGGCCCACTGTTTAAAGATAGTGTGAGATATTTATTAGAAGATTGGCGTGTTATCGAGTCATTGCCCTCATTTCATTCAATTTATTGGAATAGTTACTTTTATAATTCTCGAAATTTATTTTATTTTATTTCATTTGCTCGTAGTTTGTTTATATGAAACTATATTTAAATATTTAAATGGCCAATCTGTTACTTAATTATCGCAGCTGTCGCGAAGTATCATAAAATTTATCTTTATGATTTTTAACGTAGAAAAGTATTTAATAAACAAAAATATCTAGTTTTTCAATAACAAAAATATCGTAAATAGTCGAAGTCCATCGTAAATACGAGAAAAAAAGGAAGGAAGATGCGCTTCCTTCCTTTTTTTTTCTCTTATTTTTCTAATTCTAATATTGAAAAACAAATAAAATATGGGTGAAATATCATATTTTATAATAAATTTGTGTAATATAATCTATAGAAAATATTTTTTTATGATAAGTTTCAATAATTTTATCAAACTATACGATGATAATTTACTTTAAAGAGGATGATAAATAATAATTTTTTACTATTCACAAATTCGCAGTATATGACTCGTTGATAACACGTTTTAAATAAATTATAGCTCGTTTTTAGACTCCATTTTGAATTTTAAACTAGAAGCAGCGACATTTTTGGGCTTTTTCGACCCCATTTTCATAATAATATGTGTATTTAAGAACATTTAATTATGTGATTATGAGCACGAATGTACTTAAGTATAGCATAAAGTCGAATAAAAAGGAGTGTAGAAATGAGTTATGATTTCTTTGAATGTGGTACCTGTATTTAATTTAGTTCATTAATATATAATATATATGTATGTACTACAGTACGTTAAAAAATACATAGTAAAAAAAATGAATAAATAACAATTAAACATATATTTATTATTTAATTAAAAAAATTTTAAAATATTTTCCTTCATATTTTTAAAAATAAATATAACGTTATAAAAAGCATCGATATCTAATATATAACGAAAAAAATTCAATTAATAAATCACATATTGTGCCATCTATTGCTAAAACCGTACATTAATAATGGTTAAATGGTTATAAGCCAAATATAATTAATTGATTAATTATTATAATTGCTGCGTAGCCTAAATTACATAGAGTGAAAAATATTACTTTAAATTGGCTTAATAATTGATAAACACGAGAGAGAGAGAGAAAATTCCGATAGTTTTATTATCACTCGGTTATCAATTAAAAAAATTCGATAACCGAAAACAAATAACGATAATTTATTTTATTTTATTTTTTGTCGGAGATTTGAGATTGATAATTTAAAATATTAGTTACACGATTCAGCATTAATCATTCCTCACGATTGAATTATTTAAAAGGCCGAAATCTATTTTATATAATAATTGTAGTCTATACAAGTGGAGTGAAATTCTCGCTTGCTCATGATTAATAAATTTGCATTGTATTTTTATCACGCCGTTCGTTTAAATTTATTAAATTCAAGGCTATTTAAATTTATACACGTTAAAAAGATTTTTTTTTTTTTTTGTGGTTTTTCGACTGGTTTCAGTTTCCTTTCGCCTTCGATTTCAATCCCGCACCGAATAAGACTGACATACGTAATACGTAATATAGGACTAAATAAAATTGAATAAATATCGCATTATATAGTAAATGAAAAATAAAAGAGAACATCAGTTTACGGGAGCGAAGAAAGAATTGCGAAATATCTCTTTCAAAAAGTGTATAGTTTTCTGAACACGTGACCTATATGCATAGTGTACATCCGGGAGTGCGGGACTTAGTTTTGTGACCGCTGATGTCCGAAGCGGTCACAAAATGTTTCCGATTAGGGTGAATTTACCTAAAAAAATACCGTAAGTAAATTACTGACTTGTAATTAATGATTAAAAATGAAGTAAAATCTACGAATTTGTCAATTAAAGCTCGTTAATATAGATTTAAACGCCGTTTATATGTTAAAAACAACCGTGTATCTAAGCCTAACATGCTAGGATGGGTGTCTTCTGCTAACGTGAAGTTGTTTTTAATCGATTAGGAATTAAGTCATTTATTATTTTAACGTCGGATAATATTGGCGTAGAAGTAAATAAAGATTTAAAATAGATTTAGCGTCGATGTGTCGAATGATAATTTTATTTACCCACGAAACATTACGTGGTGAAAACTGTCAAAATTGAAGGTCACTGATTCGAAGTGGATCCACTTGAACTGATTGACAATTTCTTGCACTTTTATGCTTTTGAAGAAACGAATAATGTTAATGAAATGTAATATTTAAGCCAGGTTTATTTAGATTAGAAGTGAAACGATACTGTTATTGATTTTTTTCGATTGAATTAATGATAAACTATTGATTTCATTATTTTAAATCTGATTTGATATGAAGTTAGATTATTCGTATATGAAAGAAGTCAATTATTAAGAGGAAACATAGGTAACAATTGTTCTTGTGTGTTAATTCTTTGATAAAGTATTAATTATATCAATGGTAGTTTTAATTTAACTGTTTGTGTATATGCGTAACATGTACTGTACATTAAAACTACACGAATATTGATATTGTTTTTGCTTAGTTAATCTGTTTTTATGTGATTGTAACGTTTAAGTTTGGATTAACATGCAATACATTATCTTACATGAGCAAATGTTAATTTTCTAGATGCCAAATTTGTATGTAATCAAATAATTTAGACATACTAAAGGTCTAATACCTTTAGTATGTCTAAATTATTTGATTCGATATCAAATGTTACTTATCACAATAGATATACTGTACTTCTGAAAGTTTTGATTTACATTCCTAAATTGTGATAAGTCTAATTATTAAAACTATCTCCTTTTCAAATTATTGGTGGTACGAATATGGTCTGTAGGAAGACCTTTCAAACAGACCATATTTGTAGCCTGGAGGCTTTAGAAATATATAAAGCTAGCCTGAACAGCAAGTGTATTAATTTTAAAGACTGCAATATGATATTGCATGTATGGAGATACCTTTATGAAAAATTTGGGCAAATTTAGCCTATATTAATTCACTCTGTACTGGTACATCTTAAAAATGTGTGTGAAAGACAGGGTTGTATGTTTACGAGTTTTAGTCGTTCTACTGTTTGAATTTGATTTACATTATGTGTTGTTTGAAATTTAAAATTGCTTTTTTTAATATTATCGTTTTAATGTTCCAATTTGGAATTAGTTAAAAAACCTGATGCAGACCTTGGTGAAGGCCAAAAATGTTCAGAGTTTGTTAATATTTGTTACTGGTAGTTAAAGGTTTTGTTTTGTGTGTGATAGTCTAATCTTAGAGATAAATTCAAGATTCACAAGAAATGGATTTAAATATTAGTCTTTTAAATAGTTAATGCTGGACTGATTTTGAGGTTTTGATGTATGTTCTCTTTCTTATATAATATCCAGTTAAATGATGAAATAATTTTTGTGAAATTAACTGAATGGTTTTAGATGCTTACTTTTCATTGTTGAGAATTTTTTATAACTAATATTTTGATATAATAAATAGCAATTATAAGCAATCTGGAATTTAAAGTGTAAAAGCATTACATTAAATTCAGATAATTTAAATTGTTCAATTTTATAGATGTTCTATTTAATTCCAATTTTTTTTTATTGAAGATGGTCTGATTGTCTGGTTTGAAAACATTTCAGTTTAATAAATAAGTAATTGCCAAGAAAGTTACCAATAATTTGTCGTTTGTTATTGAAGTGATTTCCGTATTGAAATTATACTTTAATACAGAAATTATTATAAATGGTGAGAATAATTGTTAAAGAATTAAACGTAAATGCATTTAGGAGCATTGACATTGATGTACATTGAATTAATCTGTCAAATCATCAGCTAATAATTTATTAGTTCAGGCATATTTTTAGATGAATTCAGTCATTCAGTTTGAAAATTTATTATTTACAAGATTATTTATAATCTGCAATAAAAGCATTTCATTAATATTTTATTTAGGTTTGTATTAATATGTAATTAAATATTAAAGTATATGCTTGACATTAATTATATTAATGTCATGTGAATGTAATATGTTAAATATATAATGTAAGCGTATAATATATATATATATATAATCTTTGATGTTTATTAGCTACAAACAAAAAAGTTTTTAATTTATTAATTCAAAAGGAAGATTAGAAACCTAATTTTTTATGTAGATATTAAAAATACTATCCAAATTCTTTATTTGAAAATAATTGTATTTCTAGTGACTAAGAGATGATAATAAACACTTCTAGAAACTACTTATGGAAAGACTATCAACATTTTTAAATCTTCCTAATTCTTTGTATTTTGTGAAAAAACTTTTAGAATCTTTTATAGAATGTTAGAATGAGCTCAAAATTGTTTAGAATACTTTTGTGTTAAGTTATAAATAAATTAAACATTTTGATTTCATCATTAAAAAAATATTTTGTAAATTATAGGCAGCATTATGATTCATAATCTTTAAATTCTGTATTTTATGTTTTAGATAAAAAACTCAAACAAGGTAAGCCAAATTAATTTCCCAATGTACTGTACCTCCTGGAAAAATTTCTTACATTGTTAATTTATCCTTATGCCCACACAGACAAAAACTCTGTTGAAGTAGTACAAAAAAATGCAAGACTTCATTCTGATGAATGAAGAATATATCATGATCTTGAATTTTGAGTTTGTACCCATTTATTAAGATAGAACAATGTTTCTATATGTTGAGGAATTTCCTCATAAGGACTGTCAGATCTGACAAACACTGCAAAGACATCTTAGAGTTAGCACAACTAGTTTGTTTCTTGTCTTATTTCAATTCAAGGATAACACTTACATCAAGAAGGGCTCTTGCATCAACTCTAAGGATAATTTTTTCCATCTCCAATGCCTAGAAATGTACATTGAATTCTAAAATAGTTATTTTGGATTTATTATTTAAGCTAACTATACTGTATGTATCCAAACTTTTAAATTTTTTTCCACTACTGCAAAAATTCTTGTGACCCCTGGATTGACCAAAAATTATGATGATAAATTCAATTAAATAAAATGGTTTTGGTTAGAATAGTTAGAATAAGTTTCAAGGTTAGAATAAGTTTCAAGGTTTTAACACTTGAAACTTATTTCACTAAATTAAACTTAAACTTTAGAAATTGTTCTTACCATACAACATTTCCATTACATAAAACACAGTTAAAGTATACATTAATGACACTAAATACTGAATATACTTAGCAGATTGTTCACATACATAACTCCAAGTGTTCAGTACAATACAGCATTAACACAAAACAGTTACTATGCCCTATCACTGCATGTGTGACAAGACCTAAATAAACTGTTAATACACAACATAAACTTACATTATAGGCCTCTTAGTGCTCTCAGAGCAAAAAGAGGTCTATGGGCCCCACAGAACTGTACCCTATAGAAAAAAACCTTTTTAAATTTGTCATTTTATTTTAACTTTAGTTTTTTGTATTTTGTATGCTTGGTTTTTTGAATTTGTAGTGTTTTTTAATCATCTTATGTGATACAGTCAACCTCCCCCTATAACACAGGTTCCTATAGTTCGGAGTCCTATATCACGGCGAAAAAATTGCGACAGTATTTGTACAAACATGCTAAAAAAACTCCTATAATTCGGTAATCATGCCAACTCGTCACGACAAGATTGCACAAACTGTTGAGTTTAAACAAGTGGTGGACCTACCAAAAAACCATTTATTATTTAACGTCCATAAAAATTATATTTATATTAATGATGTCTCTAAAGTTCAGCGAATTTTTCACAAAAAAAAAATAATTTATGAGGAAGCACGCTAGTGCCATTTGATGACAATCTCCACAACGAAAACAAGCTTAAGCAATGGTGTAGTCGAATGGTGCACACTCGGTAAGTAATCCTACAATTTTTTGTTTGTAGCATAGTTTATATGGATTATTCCCAAAAAAGTATACGTATTTTGGAAATGTTGAGTTGAATTAGTCTAGAATCGATTAATTTTATGGAAGAAACCTTTCAAACAGCTGTAGTCTGTAAACTGCATACGTGCCGGGTTGTGATTGGCTGGACTCATAGAAGCTGGATTCATAAAAACAGGTTGTGTTATAGGGAGGTCGACTGTATTTCATTGTATTTGATTTGATTGCTTGAGGTCTTTTAAAAGACCTCAAGCAATCAAATTAAAATGACCAAAAATATTTGCATTAGTTAAGCATAATTTCTCTTGCTACTAAAAAGTTTTTATGGTATTAATTGGTACTTTATATAGCAGTTTGGCATGACTTGGCATACGTTTTATATTGTGATTCTTTGTTTTCAGCTCTTAAAAAATTACTAATATGATTTAGAATTAAGCAAAACATACTAAATTGTAGCTCTAGGAGCTCATTTATAGCTGTATAGTTTAAACCAGTGTTTCTCAACGGGGGCGATATCGCCCCCATGTGGGCGTTTTTCCATGTTGAGAAGGCGATTAGTAACAATTTGTATTTTGGGGGTGAAAAACAATTTTCTGGGCGATATAGTAAAACATTATATTAAGAATAATTAGATATTTTATTCGTTATATCACACAATAATTAAAAAAACAACATTATACTAGTCACTAGTCTATTCAATGCAGTACGAATTTGGCGTTAGCTTTGTCCCTCAGCATCGAAATTTTGTAGTGAAGGGGGCGATACTACGTAACGGTTTTATTGAAGGGGGCGACGGTTCGTTAGAGGTTGAGAGACACTGGTTTAAACCCTTGGTATATCTGAATGACTTATTTAAACATATTCTTTGAATTCTTCCTCTTAAGGACTTACATTCCTCCAGTATCCTGATTTGAAAGAGCGACATTG